GTGAGTAGTTCCCAGATTGTATCTCCTGGTTCTATGGGAGTGAGTAGTTCCCAGATTGTATCTCCTGGTTCTGGAAGTTGCTGGATGTGTGATCTTGGACAACGTATCTTAGTTCAGCTTTAGTTTCCCCACTGTAAAGTATGGATGATAATATCCACTCACAGTTTTATCGTCATGATTTAAATATATAGTAAGCTGAAGAACTTGGTAAAGGGTAAGGCACTAATCAGTTATCATTGTTATTATATGTCCCCTAAATCAGTCTTTTCCCTTGTTTCCCTCACAAATGAAGAAACCTTCAATGAGATGGATTGACCCACTAGCCACAACAATGGGCTCAAATATACCAGTAACCATAAAGATGGCACAGGACCAGACAACGTTTTGTTCTGCTGTACATAAGGTTGCCATGAGTCGGAGCTGACTCGACAGCAACTTACAACTAACAAAATCAGTCTTTGTTTTCAACCCCCATCATCTACAGCTATTGTAAGTCAGCATTTCCTAATATTGTCTGCTTATAAAGAGCAGTTTCCACATTTGAGGAAAGACCCAAAGGAAGTGAAGGGAGTGTATCATGTGGGCAACTGGGGAAGAGCAAAGCGCTGTACACGCCAAGGCCCTGAGGCAGGGATGCTGTTCCTGGTATGATCCAGGAGGACAGTGAGGCTGGAACAGAGTGGGAATGAGGGAGAGTAGGAGGAGGAGGAGTTGGAGAGCTAGCAAGGGGACAGTTACAGGTCATTATAAGATGATGAGAAGGGAAGCCACTTAAAGGCTTGAGCAGAAGAATGACATGGTCTGTCATATATAACTTGGGCTGTCAGGATAACTTGGGCTGCCGTGAGAGAACAGGTTGAAGGGTCCTAGGGCAGAAGCAGAGGGGCCAGTTAGGAGGCAAGTCGTAGCAGTGGCTGGGATTAGGGTGGCAGCAATAGAGGTGGTGGGAAATGGTTGGATTCTGGATATTTTTTTAAGGTAGAGCTGATGTAGCTTGCTGATGGACTGGATGAGAGGCATTGCCTGAGCTGGAAGGGAGTTCCATTTACTAACATGGCAAGGACTGTGGGAGGGGCAGGTGGGCAGGTGGGCAGGTGGTGTGATACCAGGAGTTCAGGCTTTTGACCTGTTCAGCTTGAGATGCCTGTTATACATCCAAGTGTAGATACCAAACAGGCAGACAGATATATAAATTAGGAGTTGAGGGGAGACGTTCAGGCTGCAGATTCACACTTAAGAGTTGTTAGCATCTAAACTATGTTTAGAGCCATGAAGCTGGATGAGATGGCAAAAGGAGCAAACACAAATAAACAAAAGTTCCAAAAACTACAATATTTGGAGGGCAGGAAAATGTACTTTTTTTCAGATTATGTAATTTGATATATACAACTGAGATCTACCTTGGTCCCTGGGTGGCACAAATGATTAAGCACTCAGCTACTAACTGAAAGGTTGGTGCTGCAAAGGAAAGGCCAGGCAATCTACTTCCATAAGATTACAGCCACTGAAAACTCTATGCAGCACAGTTCTTCTCTGAAACATACGGGGTTGCCATGAGTTGGAATCAACTTGATGGCAACTTTTTTTTACCTTATTAATTATAGCACTTAGGTCTTCAACTCCCTGACCTTTTCTTCTATTTTATCAGTATTGAGCCATTAAGAGTAAATTAAAATCTAGTAGGTTATTTCTGACTGCTTCCTTGTGGCTGTTGTTAGGTGCCTTCAAGTCAGTTCTGCTCATTGTGACCCTATGTACAACAGAATGAAACACTGCTCAGTCCTGTGCCATCCTCACAATTGTTGCTGTGTGTGAGCCCATTGTTGTAGCCACTGTGTCAGTCCATCTTGTTGAGGGTCTTTCTCGTTTTTGCTGACATTCTACTTTACCAAGCATGATGTCCTTCTCCAGGGACTGGTCCCTTCTGAACATGTCCAAACTATGTGAGATGAAGTCTCACTATCCTCACTTCTAAGGAACATTCTGGCTATACTTCTTCCAAGACAGATTTGTTCGTTCTTCTGGAAGTCCATAGTATAGTCGATAATTCTTTGCCAACACCATAACTCAAAGGCATCAGTTCTTCTTTGGTCTTCCTTATTTATTGTCTGCTTTGGCAGGCATATGAGGTGATTGAAAATACCATGGCTTGGGTCAGGTGTACCTTAGTCCTCAAAGCGACATCTTTGCTTTTTAACACTTTAAAAGAGGTCTTTTGAAGCAGATTTGCCCAATGCAGCAAGTCCTTTGATTTCTTGACTGCTGCTTCCATGGGCATTGATTGTGGATCCAAGTAAAATGAAATCATGATTACTTCAATCTTTTTTCCATTTATTATGATGTTGCTTATTGGGTCAGATGAGAGAATTCTTGTTTTCTTTATGTTGAAGTGTAATCCCTACTGAAGGCTGTGGTCTTTGATCTTCATCAGTAAGTGCTTCGAGTCCTCTTCACTTTCAGCAAACAAGGTTTTGTCATCTGCACATTGCAGGTTGTTAATGAGTCTTCCGCCAATCCTGATGCCCCATTCTTCTTCATATAGTCCAGCTTCTTGGATTATTTGCTCAGTGTATGGTGAAAGGATACAACCCTGATGCACACATTTCCTGATTTTAAACCACACAGTATACCCTTGTTTTGTTTGAACTACTGTCTCTTGATATATGTACACATTCTGCATGAGCACAATTAAGTGTTCTGGAATTCTTATTCTTCACAATGTTATCCATAATTTGTTGTGACCCACACATTCAAGTGCCCTTGCATAGTCAATAAAACACAAGTAAACATCTTTCTAGTATTCTCTGCTTTCAGCCAAGATCCATCTGACATTACAATGACATCCCTCATTCCTCGTCCTCTTCTGAATCTGGTTGGAATTTCTAGCAGTTCCCTGTCGATGTACTGCTGCAATCATTTTTGAATTATCTTCAGCATAACTTTACTTGTGATATTAATACTATTATTTGATAATTTCCACGTTCTGTTTATAACTTTTCTTTGGAATGGGCACAAATATGGATCTCTCCCAGTCAGTTGGCCAGGTAGCCATCTTCCAAATTTCATGGCATAGACAAGTGAGTGCTTTCAGCATTGCATCCGTTTGTTGAAACATCTCTATTGGCATTCTGTCAATTCCTGGAGCCTTGTTTTTCACCAATGCCTTCAGTGCAGCTTGGACTTCTTCCTTCAATACCATTGCTTCTTGGTCATATGCTACCTGCTGAAATGGCTGAATGTCGATCTATTCTTTGTGGTACACTGACTCTGGGTATTCCTTCCATCTTCCCTTGATACGTCCTGTGTCATTCAATATTTTGCCCATAGAATTCGTCAGTATTGCAACTCGAGGCTTCAATTTTTTCTTCAGTTCTTTCAGCTTGAGAACCGCTGAATGCGTTCTGCCCTTTTGGTTTTCTGTCTCCAGATCTTTGCACATTTCATTTTAATACTTTACTTTGTCTTCTCGAGCCACCCTTTGAAATCTTCTATTCCACTCTTTTACTTCATCATTTCTTCTGTTCACTTTAGCTACTCTATGTTCAAGAGCAAGTTTCAAAGTCTCTTCTGACATCCATTTTGGTCTTTTCTTTCTTTCCTTCCTATCTTTTTAATGACCTTTTGCTTTCTTCATGTATGATGTACTTGATGTCATCCCACAACTCATCTGGTCTTCAGTCATTAGTGTTCAATGCATCAAATTTTATTGTTGAGATGGTCTCTAAATTCAAGTGGGATATACTCAAGGTCACACTTTGGCTCTTGTGAACTTGTTTTAATTTTCTTCAGCTTCAGCTTCCTTATCTCCTATGATTTCCCTATTATCTTTCTATCTCTTCCCTCAGTTCTTGCATTTGTGATCTTCCTTCATAGAGGTTATTGCTTCATTAAATTTCTGTAGTTCCCAAGTATTTTTTCTGCCCCATTAAATATTTTTCTGGTGAGTATTATTCATGCTTTGGGTAGTTTGGCTACTCTTTTTGTACATTTTTTTTAATATTCTTATCTTAGTTACCTAGTGCTGCTATAACAGGAACACCACAAGTGGGTGACTTTAAGAAATAGAAATTT